AGCTGCAGCAGCAAGCCGTTCTGCTGCTGCAGCAAACTGCTGCTGCACTGCCGCTGGCGCTGCTGGAGGGAAAGGCGGGGGGCCAGGAGATAGGACTTGTATGGTCAGTGCTGCGCCCTGCTGCTGCTGCTGCTGCTGCTGCTGCTGCTGCTGCTGCTTGCTGCTTGCTGCTGCTGCTGCTGATAGCTGTTTGCTGCTGCTGCTGCTGATGGCTTTTTGATGGTGCTGCTGCTGCTGGATCGTTGGTGCTGCCGTTGCTGCTGGATTCTTTCTTCTGCTGCTGCTGCTGCTGACATCCTGCTGCTGCTGCTGCTTTCCTCTTGCTACTGGTGGCTTCATGCTGCTGCTGCTGCTGCTGCTGCTTTGCTGCTGCTGCTGCTGCTAATGCTAGCAGTATTGCTGCTGTGTTGGGGTGTATCTGCAGCGAAGGCCTTGCTGCAGCAGGTCTGAGGAGCAGCCAGCTGGAGCGCTATTTGCTGCTGTGCGTCTGCATAACAAAACAACTTGCTGCTGCTCTTGCTGCTGCTGCTGCTGCAGCAGCAGCAGCAGCAGCAGCAGCAGCAGAAGCAGCAACTGCATGCGCACTCTAGTTTCCCCCACAACAACAGCCACTCTTGCTGCAGCAAGAGCCTATTTAGCGATTTCAGTTTTAGGGTTTAGGGTTCAGGGTTTAGGGTTTGTTGCCGCGGTGCTGCTGCCGCAGTTACTAGGGTTTAGGGTTTAGGGTTTAGGGTTTAGGGTTTGTGGTGCGTTGCTGCTGCTGCAGCTGGCTGTGCCCTTCCTTATCAAAATCCCTTTCTATAGAAGCCGATCCTTTTGCACGTGAATTCGCCCCCCGCATCCAGCAGCAGCAGCAGCAGCAGGCCAGCAGCAGCAGCAGCAGCAGCAGCAGCAGCAGCAGCAGCAGCAGCAGCAGCAGCAGCAGCAGCAGCAGGTGCAGCAGCAGCAGCAGCAGCAGCAGCAGGAGCCGCTGGTATCTCTTAGCGCCCAGCAGCTGCTCTCGATCCTCAAGTGGATGGCCCCGCTCCGTGCGGCAGCATATCAGCAGCAACAGCAGCAACAGCAGCAGCAGCAGCAGCAGCAGGAGCAGGTGCTCCCTGTAAGTACCTGCGCGTCTGAGGCAGCAGCAGCAGCAGAAGCAGCAACAGCAACAGCTACAGCAGCAGCAGCAGCAGCAAAGGATGAATCGTTGGCTCTGCAACCAACTGTTTGGTTGTCTGCCTGGAGGCTGCTGCTGCTGCAGCTGCTGCAGCACCTTCCGCTGCTGCTGCTGCAGCAACGCCTCGCGCTGCTGCAAGCAGCAGCAGCAGCAGCAGATGATATCGCCCAGCGCATTGCACTGCCGTAGGTCCCCTAACCCTAAACCCTAAACCCTAAACCCTCTGTCTCCTCTTATTGAGGGTTTATGATCGAGGGTTTAGGGATTTATATTGAGGCTTGTCTCTAAAGGGTTTAGGGTTTAGGGTTTAGGGTTGGGGGTTTAGGGTTTAGGGCCTGGGGTTTAGGGTTTAGGGTTTTGAGTCTACGATCTAGGGTTTAGGGTGCGCGGCCTAGGGTTTAGGGTTTAGGGTTTAGGGTTTAGGGTTTTGG